TCTGAATGTATGCAATCCACGTTTCTTATTTCCTGCGCGGCACTTGGAAAATCTTTCGCATCATTTTCCTCCAAGCACTGCGCAGTGCCTGCTTGGTGTCTTCCCACACAGTCCATGCAGACGAACCGTGCAGCGCCGTGGGCGTGACCACAGATTCAAAGAACTTATAGCGGGACATCAACGCGAACTGCCTGTTGCACAACACATGCTTGTATTTACCAAATGCTCTCCACGCCGAAGCCAGCCGATGGCATAGCTCAGCGCCATGGTAATCTCCCAAAGTCAGAACTCTTCCCAGGTATTTCTCAGAGCGCGCCGGCTGAAGGATATCGACTGCATCGCCCCCGACGAGAGCGGTAGCGCCAACTTCCACCCCCCTGTTCGTGAGAATCTTTGTCTTGCCCAGATGCATGACCAAGCCGTGCCTGGACGCCTCGTGCTGCAAATGGCATAACATATTCGTCACGTCGCGCCGGCTCTGCGCAAAAAGCAGAACGTCGTCGGCGAATCTCAGGTTGGTCAGCGGGCTGTCCTCCGCGTCGATGACAAACACGAAATAATGGCCCGAACGCCTCTGGTTGAGGGCTCCCCATTTGCTCTTGAGCGCTTGAAAACATCTCTCCAGCACCGCTATGAAAAGGAGCGCGCTGATTGGGTCCCCCTGTTTCACGCCTCTCTTCAAGGAGAAAGGGCGTGATTCGGCCCCCGCGACCACCGTGGCTGTCTGATTGCTGTAAAGTTTCTTCAGTAGATCTATATACGGCGCGCCAACGCCAAAGTCATGCAAGACCTGCCAGAGCGAGTCATGCTCAACGGTGTCGGGCGCAGACCTGCGAGACCTGCCGAGCGCAGCAAGAAGAGGAGCGGCAAATATACAAAATGGAAGCACAGGGGCGTTGAAAGAAACGCGCCCAAAAAGTGAACACAAAAGGGCGCGGCGGCGAGGGCTAAAACAGAACATAAGTTTAACTCAGCAAGGCGCTGCGCTGAGCGGAGCAAATGCATGAGGTGCATAACGTGCATAACGGGGGTGGAGACTCATCCAGAAGTGGAGACAGAAGGGCGCGGCAGCGAACCCAAAGAGAAGCACCAAAAAGTGGAATCAAAAGGTCGCGGTCGCGAGAATAAGCAGGAGCACACAGAAGTGGACGCAGGAGGGCGCGGTAGAAAAAAACGGCCCCATTTTGAACAGAGCGATGTCCAGAGCGAGAGCCCCATTTCGCTAGTTTCGAGCATGTCTAGAGTGAGAGCCCCATTTTGAACAGAAGACGTCTTGACGCAGCTCGTCCGACATCACACTTTGTGGCGACAGTTGCGCAGATCGCAAGCCCCCCAAAAGGCGGCGAAGTCCCGAGGTGGTCCGCGTATGACGTACCTCCGCTGGGCCTCCCAGGAGCCCGCGAAAGTGGCAACAGCTGCGCAGATCGCAAGGCCCCCAGGGGGCGGCGAGGACCCGAGGTGGTCCGCGTATGACTTACCTCCGCTGGCATCCCAGGAGCCCACGAAAGTGGCAGATCGCAAGCCCCCCAGGGGGCGGCGAGGTCCCGAGGTGGTCCGCGTATGACGTACCTCCGCTGGGCCTCCCAAGCCCCACGAAAGTGGCGACAGCTGCGCAGATCGCAAGCCCCCCAGGGGGCGGCGAGGTCCCGAGGTGGTCCGCGTATGACGTATCTCCGCTGGGCCTCCCAGGAGCCCACGAAAGTGGCGACAGCTGCGCAGATCGCAAGCCCCCCAGGGGGCGGCGAGGTCCCGAGGTGGTCCGCGTATGACGCATCTCCGCTGGACCGCCCAAGCCCCGCGAAAGTGGCGACAGCTGCGCAGATCGCAAGCCCCCCAGGGGGCGGCGAGGTCCCGAGGTGGTCCGCGTATCACGTGCCTCCGCTGGGCCTCCCAGGAGCCCACGAAAGTGGCGACAGCTGCGCAGATCGCAAGCCCCCAAAAGGCGGCGAGGTCCCGAGGTGGTCCGCGTATGACGTACCTCCGCTGGGCCTCCCAGGAGCCCACGAACGTGGCGACAGCTGCGCAGATCGCAAGCCCCCCAGGGGGCGGCGAGGTCCCGAGGTGGTCCGCGTATGACGTATCTCCGCTGGGCCCCCAAGCCCACGAAAGTGGCCACTGTTGCGCAGGTCGCAAGCGCCCCAGGGGGCGGCGAGGAAGAGGAGAGGGGAACACAAGAAACATGAGAGAAGGAGGAGGGGAGGAGAGGGGAGGAGGAGGAAGGACGGGGCGACCACACTGCTCTATTCAAAACGAGAACCCAACACAGGAGGGTTGGGAATAAATGGGGACTCAAAGGTCCAATCAGGAATCCGAACCCAGAACCCAGAATCTGCTATCCCGAATTCTGGATTCTGGACTCTGGATTCGGACTCTGGGTTGAACCCCGTCGGCTGGACTCCCCAGATCGGCACTCCCAATTAAGAGCACACCACATACAAACTACATACAATGACTGAACTGTGCCTGCTCAGGCCAGCGCGAACGGGCCTCTGCGACACCCCAGGTCAACCACCCCACCCCCCACCCACCCATGGAAGGCCCAAGTACCATGCATGAGACAGAGCGATGATTATCGGAGGTGAGGGGGCCAGATCGAAGTGGAACGGAGAGCCCCCCTACCGGGAAATCGATTTCGGTTTCGTGTTCGTGCGTGCCGTGCGTGCGGGCGAGGCGAAGCTGCGTGGGCGGGCGAGAGGAAAGTCTCCTGTGGCTGAGGCGCGGCCGGACCAAATGATTCTCCACCGGCGGCCGGTGGCGCGCGGTGTCCCGCCGGTGTCCCGGTGGTGTCCTCTGTGGCTGAGGCGCGGCCGGACCAAATGATTCTCCACCGGGCGGCCGGTGGCGCGCGGTGTCCCGCCGGTGTCCCGCCCGTCGGTGTCCCGATGATGATGATGATGATGATGATGATGATGATGATGATGATGATGATGATGATGATGATGATGATGATGATGATGATGATGATGATGATGATGATGATGATGATGATGATGATGATGATGATGATGATGATGATGATGTGGTGCTGATGATGATGATGGTGATGATGATATCGATAGAGAGACCGAATGTGATATCGATAGTGAGACCGAATGTGAAATCGATTGTGAGATCGATTGTGATATCGATAGTGAAATCGATAGTGAGACCGAAAGTGAGATTGATTGTGAGATCGATTGTGAGATCGATAGTGAGATCGATTGTGAGATCGATTGTGATATCGATGATGAGATCGATAGTGAGACCGAATGTGAGATCGATAGTGAGATCGATAGTGAGATCGATAGTGAGATCGATAGTGAGACCGAATGTGAGATCGATGGTGAGATCGATAGTGATATCGATTGTGAGACCGATAGTGAGACCGAATGTGAGATCGATTGTGAGATCGGTAGTGAGATCGATAGTGAGATCGATAGTGAGACCGAATGTGAGATCGATTGTGTGATCGATAGTGATATCGTATAGTGAGATCGATAGTGAGACCGAATGTGGGATCGATAGGGAAATCGATAGTGAGACCGAATGGGAGATCGATAGTGAGATCGATAGTGAGACCGAATGTGAGATCGATAGTGAGATCGATAGTGATATCGAGAGTGAGATCGATCGAGTGCGACGTTGGTCCCTCCCCACCCCTCACCTCCTTATCACCCGAAGGGTGGTCGTATAGGTAGAATTATGCAAAGGGCCACGGGCCCCCGTCTAAATGAAAGTATGGGTGATCGCAAGGGGGGTTGCGAGTGACTGGGTCGGTGTGAGTGTGAGTGAGCCGGGCCTGGGTCTGAGTATGAACGGCTGGGTGCGATTGATTGTGAGAGAGAGAGAGAGAATAAATCTGACCATCGGGTCTGAGCGAGTCTGAGTGTGAGCGAGTCTGAGTATGAGTGAGTCTGAGTATTAGCGAGTCTAAGTGTGAGTGAGTCTGGGTGTGAGTGAGCTTGCGAGTAGATCAGAACATGAGTAAGTCTGAGGGAGACAGGTCTGAAACGAGTATATGACAATGAGTACGCCTGAATATGAGTCGGATGATAAAACTGAGTGAGTTGTGGGTGTTGGTGTGAGTGAATTGAGCGAGCGTCAGTGGGTCTGAGACTGAAGAGGAGATAAGGAGCAAGGCAAGTGAAGGCGAGGTGGACGCGTCCCACCAATAACAAGAGCATCGCAGTTACGAGATGGGACATGGGGAATCATTATGATCCGAATAGCACCGCGCTCTGCTGGATCCCCCAGGCAATCACGATAGTGCTGAGATTCGCGCAGTTGGCAGTGCCCAGGGAAGGCGGGGTCTAGTCCACGTGATCAGAAGACGTCGCTTCGCTGGACATCCCAGAACCTCACGAAAGTGCCGACAGTTGCACAGTTGGCAGCACCCAGGGAAAACGAGGTCGAATTTGAATGCCCGTAAGGCGTCGCTCTGCCGGACCCCCCACATACTCTCGAAAGTGGCGACAGCTGCGCAGCTGGCAACGTCCAGGGTGGCGAGGCCGCAACGCCCATGGAAGCGAGGCTTTGTCCCCTGCAGGCTTCAGCAACCTTCTCGTTCCCCTCCTTGGGGGGTCTAACAAAGAGCCAAGACGTGGCGCTTCCAGTCTCCAGCAAAGAAAAAAGGTCCCGAAGCTCGTGGATCAGCCCCAGACCCCTCGACAAGCGCCAGAAGCGCGCCAGGGGCAGCGCTGGAGGCGTCAGAACCGACCCAAGAAATCCCTGCGGAACTCCGAAAGTTTATGCTTATGCCGCTTGTCATTCAAAAGAATGCCCCACCCGTCCGCTCCCTCCTCCCCCTTCTCGTCTCTCTTCCCCTCCCCTCCTCGGGTCTCTGGAAGCCTCTGGGTGTCCCTGGAGGTCTCCAGAAGGCCTACGAGGAAACGGCGCGCTCACTGGCCCGCCTCCTCCTCCTCCTCCTTCTCCTCCTTCTCCTCCTCCTCCTCCACCACCCGTCCCTCCCACAATTTCGAGGTGCCCGCGTCCCTCCCTCAATTTCGAGGTGCCCCGTCATCCTCACCATCGCCGCCCGCACCGCCATCGCCGCCCGCACCGCCATCGCCGCCCGCACTGGCGGTGCTTCCGTCACCAGCGCCGCCCGCACTGGCGGTGCTTCCGTCACCAGCGCCGCCCGCACTGGCGGTGCTTCCGTCACCAGCGCCGCCCGCACTGGGGGTGCTTCCGTCACCAGCGTCGCCCGCACTCTTTGTTTGTGCGACGGCGTCCGCGGGGGCCGGCGCCGGCGTCGGCGCCGCCGTCGTCGGCGGTGGCGGCGGCGCTGGCGTTGCCGGTGGCGCTGGCGCCGGCGTTGGCGGCGCTGGCGTTGGCGGCGCCGGCGTTGGCGGCGCCGGCGTCGAGAAGCTGTAACCGCCACCGGAGGTCCCGTAGGAGTCAGGTTTAGCTGGCACGACGATGAAGCTGAAGCTCGGAAGGGTCTTGCTCACTGGTTGTTCGAGCGTTATCTTGCCATCTCCAACGCTCTTCACTGTCGCTTCCTCGTTCTCGGCGCTGCTGTCGTCAGTGTCGATGATGACGATGTGGCTTCCCACCTGAAAGACGTCCGTATTCTGCACGGAAAGCTCGGTGTCTCCCTCCTTGATTTCTGCCGTGCAGAGGGTCCCCAGATCTTCCGTGTTAGCGTTATTGTTCTCCAGCAAGGAGTGAAACCTCCTCAGAGAACCACGAAAAGTGAAAACTTCCAGAGGCCCGACCAGACTTCTTGGGCCGGCGCCCGAGAGAGCCCAGCGTCGACATGGGAGCTCGAGCGTAGCATAGAACGTAAGGTCTTAGTATGCGGTGCCTGGGTGTGGGTGGGGCCATCTCTTTCCTTCCCTTCCCTCTCTCGCTCCGCGACCCCTCTGCGCGACGATCACGATACGACATAGCGACCTTACGCGGCGCCTTACGCGGGCCGCCAGCGCGGCACGCTACATTGGAGAGGGGGGCGCTTACGCGCGAACTCACGCGGGGACCTTACGCGCCAAAATCGGCGAAGACGAACCCGCTCCGCGGCCCATCTGGTCTCAAGCCTTTTTCGGGCCTCACCCTCCCACGTACCCCATCAACACCCGAAATTTACCCGCTGCCGCGGGACTGACAGGAAACGCAGCTGCGCGGTAGAGAGCGGCAGCTGCGGCGCCTGTGCTCCCCAGAAATAATGTGTATACATATATATATATATATATACACATGCATACATACCTACCTACCTACCTACCTACCTACCTACCTACCTACATACATACATACGTACATACATACATACATACATACATACATACATACATACATACATACATACATACATACATAGAGAGCAAGAAAGAAAGAAAGAAAGAAATAAAGAAAGAAACAAACAACAACAAAAATGGATGTATATAGCGCTTTGCGGTTATCCAGGCACGACCACACTTAAACACAAGAAATCCGCGAACGAACGAAGGCGTTCCAGCCAGAAAAGCGACGCCTTTGGGCCCAAGACCCAGCCAGTGCAGACGGCAATCGGTCGAAGGCGGGGGGAAAAGCAACGCCAACCGAAATTGGGGAAGGGTAGGAGGAGGAGGAGGAGGTGGAGGAGGAGGTGGAGGAGGAGTTGGCGGACGGAGGGGAGAGGAAGGAGGGAGGAGAAGGAGGAGGGGTACGTGGCGAAAAAACGGAGGAGGAGGAGGAAGAGGAAGAGGAGGAGGAGGAGAGGGGGGAGGAGATGCAGGAGGAAGGGGACAGACAACCGAGATCGGCGAGCCCAAAGCGCATGGATTTAAGGAGGCAGGAAAGAAGAGAAGGAGGAGGAGGAGGAGGCGGAGGAAGAGGAGGAGAAGGACCAGGACGAAAGACGGAGGACGGAAGACTGAGGGAGGAGGACGGAGAAGGAAGGAAGAGGAGCAGGGAGGAGAAGCAGGAGGGCAAGGACGACCAGGACCTCCAGAAAATTATACCTACGCCGCTTCAGGATCCTTGTCTGCTTCTGACCCTGCCGCTGGGGGCGATCGGCATGTGCTGCTGCCGCGCGTTGCCAGGGGGACACCTGGATGGATGAACCAGCATCGGACCAGGAGATCGGATCGGGTCGGAATGCGCGTCGGATCGGACCGCATTCGCACGAATTGACACCGAATCAGATCGGCGCTGCACAGCAACGCCACACAAGCATCTGGCCGCATCGGACCGTCGGAATTTCGGAATCGAATCGGATCGGGCCGGCAGGAACGGGCATCGATCCGGACCGATCGAATCGAAGTGGACGCTGCCTGGCTGGCCAGCACGAGGCTGGCGAGGAGGAGGACCGCCACGGCCGCCACGAGACCAGCCCTGAGCCGCCCCTGCTGGGGAGGGCGGGCCTCGCCCAGCGGCGCCGCCGCCCCTTCCTCGACGTTGAACTCGTCGTCGTGGCCCGGGACCTGCTCCATGCCTCGGTGATCCATTTCCTCCGCTCCAGGGGGGCGTCCACCGACCACCTCACTGGCTCTGGCAGGGCCCACCCCAGGCCCAGGTTCGGCTGGCGCTCGTCTCCACTGACATCCTCCGATGTGAAGAGGTCCCGACCCCTTCCCCGGGGCCAGCTTTTTCGCCACGTGCCCACTTCTGCTAGCCCCGTGGTCCGATGTCATGGGCCCCAAAGGCCCAAGTCGAGGAAAAAGTGCCGATCGAAAAAAACACCTCGTCGGAGACCATCGAAAATTTGACCCGGCCCGCGCGTTCAAGAATTTGACCTCGGCCGCTCGCGGCCTGGACCCCTTCCCCGGGGCCGGTTTTTTTCGCCCCGTGCCCATTTCTGCTAGCCCCGTGGTCCGATGTGATGAGCCCTAGAGGCCCAAGTCGAGGAGAGAGCGCCGCTTGAAAGGATCGCCTCGCGTCGGAGACCTGGGCCCCTGCACCGCGCACAGGGCCTCCAGACTCGGCCTGGGCCCTGGGCCGGCGAGAGAGGCGGCTAGCTGGCGCCCCCCGACCTGTGGAGAGGGCCAGGAGAACGGCAGGGGCACAAGTTTTCGGAGCTCCGCGCGGGCGTGCCGGGTCAGCGATGGGCCCGCCTCTTCCATCGACTCGGGACGCGCCGTTCGCGGAGGAGCTCGACTACAGAATTGATGTCGAATGTTGCCTATGCTTCTTTGATATGGGCTCTTTTTTGACCATGTTGATGAGCAAACTGTGACCATGATCCTCTCGCAACCCTTCATCCTCATCGTCTTTCTGTAATGGTCTCTTACCCAGGTTCTATATTCAACGTAAGTGGTACGTCCCTCCACGCCATGGCTAAATGAACGTGGCGGGGTGTCCGTTTAGCTTCGAGCTAGCAACAAAGCAAATAGGGGCGAAGGGGCCGGCAGGCAGGGGGAGAGCGCCCGGGAGGGTGCGCGCGCCGGGCGGGCGGGCCTAGATTTCTTTACTTGAGCCAACCCACAACAGCTGCGTCGAAGCTGTGGATCAAAAATGGACCCCCCCCCCGCGGCCGGCCCGGCGAGCTCCACTCGCGCGGGCGGGCGAACCTGATTCAGGTAAACCCCCCAATTGTTCAGAAATTCGTCTGGGCACGCGGCGCCTGGCAGACGGTTCTCCCACCGTCTGGCTCGCCGTGCAGAAGACGCAGGCGCATGGCACCCTTATGCTTCGACGAGTCAAACTATCCTTTATGGACGTACTTGAGCCGCAAACGTCAGTCTCGAGGGGGGTACGTCGGCATAGCCGCTTTCCCCCCCTCGTTCTCTTCCACGTACCCTCACCAGCGATCACTAGAGCTCCAGCTGCCATTGCACCAGCTGTCCGAGCCCCATGTCCACAATGAATCCGTAGCCTGCTGCTCCGCGTCGCCACGCGCGCGCCATGCCCCCCAGAGGAGGCGGCCCCCGCACTGCGGTGCGCGTCCGACTGCGTTGGGTTCTCAGCTCGGCGCCGCCTGGATTACTGTTGATCATCTGGCGCTCGGCTACTCGTCCCCTTTGCCCCCTTGCCACTGCAATCGTTGTCCTTCCCTTTTCCCGCAACGTCGCCCCCCGCCCCCGCTGCTTTGGGGCGGCACTCAGGCTGCGCGGAGCGAGGCCGCTCGGCACCCTTGGCAGATGGCTCGCGCGCCGGCGCACCAGCTCCGACATAGTCGGCTGGCGCGCCCGAATACGCAGGCCGCGCCTTAGGCGGAGGGGCCCATCGAAACTCGGCCCGAGGCCAGCATTCCTATCTCCGCCGCCATGACAGCCTTCAGTCCGGCGAGCGGCGCAATGCCCCTCGTTCCTAGGGCCGCCACGCACCACGCAGGCCAACCACAGCTTGGCTCCTCCCGGTGGCGCTCACATGGGCGAACGTAGTCCCAGTCGAAGGGGTTCAGCATGGAGTGGCCTTCCTCTTCCATCACCCTCCTTCTGACGCATGGCCACCCCACTTTTGGGGGAGCCGCCGCGTCCTTCCCTGTCGCTGGAGTGCCAATGCGTTCGTTCTGGAGCTTGATAAACCTTCGAGACAGCTTCCTCGTCTTCTCGAGCTAAATAATTCGTCTTCTGGACGCGTGGGCAACCCAGCAAAGACCGTCATTATATTACTATGGAACGCAGTTTTACCTTTAAGGGCGCTTTCCCTACGTAGGGCAATCGCCTCCGCATTGGTCCCCAGCCACCTCTCACGCGTCCTTCGCTGCAACGATCAGCGCCTGCCCCAGCCCATCTCTTCGGCCCGCGGTCGTGGACATAGGCCTGGCGAACCCTTTTCTAGGCCAAGGCCCTTGTAGATGACCATCGGCTTGATTACCTCAGCATCGATAATGCGGGCCCCGCACTGCACAATAGCCCGAGACGCGAAGAACTTGAGCGCCCCGATCTGATTAGGGCAATCATTGCAGCACAGAAGGCATCCGCCCCCCCCACAAGCGAGGCGCGCACAGCGCGTCCTTCTTCTCCGCGGAGGCGAGCTCATGGCCGACGCCCTCGTTGGACAGGCGGCGCAGCTCGCAGTTATGCTTCGCGAAATCAACGCAAGCCGAACCGAGTGCGGGATAGACCTGCAAGGCCGCGAAACGTCGGTCATTGACAAACGTCCACGACGCCCGTGCACGCTGGATACCCGACAAAGAAAGCCGCATTATTCGTGGATATCATTCCACTTAGGGCGAAAAGTGGTCGCCAGAGTGCCGTCGCGCTGTATCCAGACATCCTAGTTCTCAACGATACCAGGTTGGGACGTAAGCACGTACATGTCTAACAACGGATGTGGGTCATCTAGTCCGAAGACCCTGGCATCCAAATCCTGGCCCGGCACTGCTCTTGCCAATCCACCCGGTCTGAGCCACCTTGGCAGCTCTCCGTTTCCTTCGCCGTTCTCGCAGGTCTGAATTTTCTCGACCACCGTCTGTGCCCCATAGGCACAAAAACTCGCCAATCCTTACAACTGGTCCGTCGAGCGCGGCATGTGGTCCAAGATTGGCCGGAAGACAAGCAATAAATTCACGCTGTCAAATCCGTTGGACGTCGTTCTTCGGTGATTCGAGGCGCCCGGTCATAGACCACTTCATGGCAAAATAATCCAAAGAAATGACAATGGCCTGATGGGAGTATCTCGCAGCCGCTTCGCACCGGATGCACATGCGTTTCGGGTCTATAACCCGAACGGAATGGCCCTTGCAGGCGCGAGGCATCAAAGGCATTCTAGCCATAGGTTGCAAAATCGGGACTCCCGCGTCGGCATCATCTTCCACCACCGAATTGCGTCCAAAACTGTCCTCCCAGTCGTCGGGCTCGGCGGTCGGACCCGCGCCCGCGTTCGTCTTAGTCACGCCGAGAATCTGAACCGCGCTGGGGGGCCAGTGGGCGAGGGCACGCACGAAGCGCGCCCACGCTCCGTCGCAACCCTCGTCGCCCAGCATCTCGACGACGACGCGCGCTTCAATCCACCACCCTGAGCTGCGGACGCGGGCCGCGCGGCACATCGCCAAGTCGGCAATCAGAGAGCCTACGCGCCCACCCTCTTCCACGTCCATTCCCGAGTACCACGCCGGCGAGCGTCGTTCACTCATTGAAACCATCGGGATAAGGCGGAACTCGGGGGATTGGAGACAGCGGGGTTCGACTGTGTCGAAGCGGGCGCGCAAGAAACGTCGAGCTCTGGCGCCATCGTCAATAATCAAACTACGAAAGAACTCAAGTAACGGGTCGCCGCCAAATCCTCGCGCCCACTCAAGCGTCCTTTTCTCGCGCCCCCTGTATCTCTGCTCACTGTCTGCGAAGGACTCTGGGCCAGTGTCACAGTATTCTTCCAGCCTCCATGCCAGCTCGATGGGGAGGGCACATAGTTCCCCATCGTCCCAATCCTCGATGAGCGATGCACCAAAGTCATCCTTCTCTACGTGTTCGAGCCCAATATGGGCTGTCTCTCCCAAGTCCCACTTCCTCTGCATGTACTCGTCGATCGATATCTGCACACTTGGGCACTTGGGAGGCGTAGGATACCCGCACGGACAGAGCTACTTCGACATGAAAGCGCGAGTTTACTTGTCGGAGAGCACATCCAAGGGGATCAGCGCACGCGGGCTTTTACGAGGTATAACCTCCACCTGTTTTTCCGCATCTTCGTCTTGCTCAGTTTCTGATTCACCTGGTTCGTCCTCTTCTTCTTCTCCTGCAACATATCACTACTCTGCTGCAAGACCTTGAATCGTGGCCTGAGCCCGGCGCCCCGCTTGGCTACCAGGGGGGCAGAGGGTCTTCTTCGTCAGACGGGTCCAAGTCGGCCATATCTGGATCCTTCTTGACAACTGACGGCCTTTGCCTGGGCCTCGCACCCGCGATGGGCGCCTAACCGTGAGCATCCGCGACAGCGTCCGAGGGTAAAAGAACAGGCGGGGAGGTAGCCGGCTCGTTCGCAGGGCGGCCCGACTCGACTTCCATGCCCGCTGCAAAGGACTTACCTCCTTCATCCCGGAGGCGATCTGAGTCTACAGACATGCGCGTCGGACTGTCAGTCTCCTCGGTCACGTCCGCCGCGCCCTCTTTGATTTCAGCATGGCACACCACCATTCAAATATCCTTCTCTCGTGAACCAAGATCTCAGCAGGGGCGTCGCGATTGCACGCATCAGCCCAGCACGCATATGCGCGCTGCTGGCGAATACACAGATCGATGTGCAGCGCAGTGTTTGGTCTTTCGCAATAATCGTATGAAATTACTGGCTGAAGGTGCGCTGGCTTCCTCTTCGTACCCCCCTGCACTCCCCTGCGAGATGTACAGTCACATCCAAGCAGAAGACAAATACAGACCTGCTCCAAGCGAGACATAATCCCCTTGACCACCACTGGGCCTTCCTCGGGCAGCGGCCTCGCGTCATCCATCGGGGGCGGCCGATGAAATAGCGCCCCCTCTCCGGGGCCAGGCGGCTGCGGCGCTGGGTGGAAGGCCGGGCTAATTTCCTTGAAGGGGAAACGAAGTCTAGCATTCGCATAATAGACTTTCTTGAACCCCGCCCCTCCCAGGGCCCCCCAGCTCGGGTGCTGACGCCCCCTCCCGGGTGAAACGGTCTTGCGATGAGCCATCGTCTGCGCGTGGATGCCCAAGGCGTCGGTCCGCACGAAATCAACGATGCTGTGGTGGAACTCTTTGCCAATGGTGGGCTGAATCCAATCGTCCTCGCTTATAGTGTCGCCGGCATCTGCAGCGTCGCCAGCGTCTGGGTCAGGTGTCACATCTCTTGGGCCCATGTCATCATCCGCCTGATCAGCAAGAGGTAGCGGGTTCATCCGCTCATATTCCGCGAAGTCTCCGACCGAATATTGTATCCAGCGGCTATCCACATCCACTTTCGCACGGATGATGTCATTCTCGAGCTCCAGCACTCTGTCGCAGCGGACCAGGGCGCTGACGTCTGGGGGTACATGAGTGCTCCTTATAGTACTGATCCGTGTCCAGCTCTGTTCCTCAATATACACCAGAAACCCATGGCAGTCCGCTCTCGGCGGCAAAAACACGAAGACGTTCGATGAGCATTTTCCGGTCGTCACGGATTTCCTGTATCTGCTCTGTCCCCGGCGGGCCTCCCGCATCTGCACCTCGTTGTCAATCATCATCGGGTCATTGCCCTCAATCCGCTGCGCCGCCCCCCGTATCTGCCAGAGAGGCACGGGAACCGTTTCTCTCCAACCGAACCCCGCCTTTTCCACTGGGGCGAAGGGGGCCTGGTCGACGATAGCAGCGAAGTCCAGCTCGAACCCGTCTCCGTTTGACACCTTGGGGAGGTATAGCCAAAGACCCTGGACGTGCGTTTGCGG